AGGGAGGGAGAAGGGAGGGAGAAGGGAGGGAGAAGGGAGGGGGGAATGGGTGGAGGGAGGGGGATTGGAGGGATCACTTCTGAGGTTTATCTTACAGGGGTACAAGTGAATCTTTCTAAGAGTAGAATGTGAACGTTTTAAAACAATAATTGAGAAAATGACATGAAAAAAAAAGAGCAAAACTCTTGTTCTAACGCCCAGGGCTTCAGCCTCATCAATTCTATGAATGAATGATTTTGTTAATTGCTCACTGAACACAAGAGCAACGTGATGCCTTTCAAATGGTACAGGCCTACCAGCAAGCCACAGAGGGGATTTGGGTGGGACTAGGCTGACCATTCTCTGGATGGGATGAGGGGCAGCACAGCCTGGTCCCAGGATGTTGGAGCAGCTCTACCCTGGGCCCACAGTGCTGCCAAGAGACTCCATTCAGCTCACCTGGTACTACCCAGTAAGGGCCCAGCAACAGTGAGTGAAACCATCAAAAGCACTGCCGTGACAGGACAGCACAGTGCTATGGGAGCTCCAGGAAAGAATCTTCCCAAAAGAAATAGGAGCTGCACATTAGGAGAGTGAGGGGATCACTGGCCCGGGAAAAAGATGAGGAGGGCAGATACTGGGTTAGAGAAACAGCTTCAGCAAAGGCCTGGGCAAACCAACCTTGGCACCACAGTATTGGCTGGTGGATTTCCAGCAGCAGGATCCTATACTGCCCAGCCTGATGCACACTCTGAATGACCTGCAGCTGCCTTCCAGCCACTAAATGTGCCAGCATCAGCTGCTGCCTCTCTGTCAACTCACAGCAATGTTGGACTCTATTGTCTTGATTTTCAAATATGAGGGAAAAGTAATTTCAGAAGCCAAATATGACTGTCCTACACACTTCTCCACCATTAGCAATAATTGCAAAAGACAGACAATCTCCAGGGCTCCAAAAGACTATTGCTCTATGAAGCCATTTCAGTCAGGGGCAGGGGGGGACTCTCTACAGATGGGAAGCAAATAGATTCAGGGGATCACAATGTTGTGATTTCCTCCTGAGGGGTTCTGTAACCTCCAGCTCCACACTGGGGTACACACTGTGAGAGGGAAGGGTGTGATGAACTAAAGCTGGTCAGGCAGCAGGAGCAATCAGAAGGAGGTGGCCCAATTGGAGGCTTCAGGTGTATTTTCCATTGAGAAGAGAGATGTGTGGAAGGCATGAAGAAAGAAACAGAGATTGTTTGCTCTGTGCTGTACCCACCACAACCCTCTATCCCTGCAGTTACCTTACCATTTTGGAAACACCTGCTTATAAACCCTCACCCAAAACCTCACCTCCCTTAAGGGAGCCTATGCTTGAGTCACTTCTGAGGTGCTAGCAGCTAAGCCATGGCCAGGATACAGCAATGCTGAACTGAGAGCAGAAATGACAGGAAGGCCTATTTTATGGCTCAAGAAAAGCAAGTGCTTTCTAACAATCCAGGTTGCCTCTAACAGGCCAGGATATTTAGGTGGAAACATTCTGTCAAGGAAAGTCTGCAAGCAACCGAATGCCCTCATGCTAATAGGAATGAGAATGAAAAAGGACTCGGGAGATTTCTTCCAGTTCTAAGACTCAGCCACGGGAAGCAGTGAAGGGAGCCCCAGGGGAGGAAATGCTCTGACAGCACCTGCTCTGTGCCAGGTGCACACACCCAGGCACTGCCTTGTTAATCCCCCACAATCCTGTGATGTAAGCACTACTATTATTCGCACTTCACAGTGGAGGAATCTGAAGCTCAGTGAGGTTCATAACTTGCCAAAGACAGAGCTAGTAAGAGACAAAGGTGAAATGTGAACCAAGACCGCCAGGCTACCCACCTGGGCTAAGAGAGAACTTGTGCCCTCCTGGCTGTGCAGGAGGCAGCGCCAGCCCTTTGCAGCAGCTGAAGCCTTTCCAAGGGTAATAATATTAGCTGACTTCATCTCCTGCAGATGCCAAAACTTGTCAAAAGTATTTTTACATCTACAAGCATAAGAGCCCTAAGCCAACAGATGCAGCTCTAGGGAAAAACAGCTGGTTTACAGCCGTCTGTTCTGTGGGAGCCCAGGGGCTGCCCTCCACTCCTAGACTCCAGCTAAAGAACACAAGCTGCTTCAGGAGGGGTCTAGGAAGACTCTTGGGAAGGAGGTAACATCTGAACTAGGACTTCAATGATGAGTTGGACAAGCACAGGCAGTGTGGGCAGCAGACAAGAAAGGGCATTCCATACATCAGAAACAGCAGGACCAAAGGCAGAGGAGCCAGATGTGTGTGGAGAATCATGAGCTGTTCAGGGTTACCAGAACATAAAATTCAAATTCAACAGGGGAAGGACATAGTGATCAAAGAGGTAAGCAAGGGCTGCTACATTATGAAGGACTTTGAATACTATGCTAAGGAAGCTGTACTTAATTTATCCTGAAGGCAATAAGGAATCACAGAAAGGTTTTATGCAGAGCAGTGTGATAAGATCAAATCTCTGCATTAGGAAGATCCGTGGTGGTAGCAATATAAGAAGCTGAGCTGCTGGCAGTGAGACCGGAGGTGTGAAAGCAACGCTGGAGTAATGCAGGAGAGCTCTACTGTAATCCCCAACAGAGCCAAACTTTCCACTCTCTGGGCCCCCCGGCCTACTCACAGTATCATGGATGCAGGCCTATTTAAAGCCTACTAGTTCTGTGGAGACTCCCACACAACCTTCTTCAATGATACGACTGTATGGGGAGAAAAAATACTAATCCTAACTGCCAATTATTGAACTCACTCCACATCAGATACTATGCTGGGTCCTTTATACAAATAATCTCAGTTGTGCACTCAACAGTCCTATAAGGGAGGCGACTATTCTTACCTCCATTTTGCAGAGGAGGAAATTTAAGTTCAGAGAGGGTAGCTTACCAAAAGTCATCCAGCTACTAAAAGGAAGGCATGAGGACTTCCACCAAGGGTATGAGGGCAGAGACCGCACTGTTAACCACCGCCGAGAGGGCTGGAGAGGGAGGGCTAAGGATTCTGAGTCCCAGAGACCCTGTGAGACACCCCACCTCACCCTGCCCCAGCTCCTTAGGGAAAATAATGGGTGGTACACCTAGACACAACTGCCGGGGAGAGGCCAGAAGTGGGAAGCCCCACTTCAAAGGAATCAGGAGGGACTCGGCTGTCGGCAGCCTTCAGGTACTAGGAGAGAAACAAGGTCGTGGACCTGATAAACCCGGACAGGAAAAACAGAGAAAAGGGCCTCATGGGCGGGGCTCGGACAGGCGGCGTATTCTGGGGCGGGGATTCCAAGGGGCGGGGCTCCCTGAGCCCCAATAAGTCTGGGATCTGCTGGCCCGTCCGAGGGGCGGGCCGCGAGAAGGCGGGGCCGCGAGAGGGGCGGAGCTATAGCTGGGCTCGCAACCCACAAACTCGTTAGGTCACCTCCCCACGACCAGACCCAACCTCGTTCCACACTCTGGCTCCAACAAGGCTGATCCGGGATCTCGATGGTGTAGTCCAGCTCAGCTGAGGCCATGGTGCAGGCGCTGGCCCTAAGCACGAGCCTCCTGCCGGAACTCCCGCTGGTGCACCCGTGCCTCACCGGGAGCCTCCTGGGCACTGCCCAAGCCCCCGACACCGCCCAATCCCTGGGCCGTGCTCTGTGACCTCCCGCCCTAGCAACCACGGAGTCCCTCTCACAGCCTCTCACCGCACCGCGCTAGCTCGGCCTTAGCAACCATGCCCCGCCCCACCCTAGCTCTGGCCCTCGTCCATTGGGTAACTCTCTCGATCTGGATTCGGTATTGGCCAACCGGGACATCGGTCAGGAAGAGTCCTCACCCTCTTGTGTAGGTGGGAGTCGGCCAGAGAGTTGCGGTATTGTGGGACTGGGAAGGGTCTCTTGCCCAAACCGAATCTTAATCTACTCTGCGGAAGGCAATACCCTTTGATTTGCACCGTCTAGCTACCTCTGCCATCCTCTACCAGCTGCAGCTCCGAGGTCTGGAGGTAGAAAACCGTACAAAACGGCCTAGGGGGCGCCTACTGACCCATCCTCCGCCCAGTGGGGTCCGGGTGGGTGGGTGAGAAATGATCTTCAGTTAACTTCAGTTTAGAGAATGCCCCGTTTGTGGGGGACTGGGGAATACATTTTTATTGAGCATCTGTTTTTGTGCCAGAGACTGGGCTAGGTAAGGTTCCTTGGGTTCCTATGAGGATCAAGTTTTTAGCCCTAACTTTCACATCTTATTGGGAGAGAAGAAACCAGTCCAATTCTCTCTACGGGATAAATACCACAAAAGAGTTAGGATTGGGGTGGCGCCTATGGCTCAAATGAGTAGGGCGCCGGCCCTATATGCCGGAGGTCGTGGGTTCAAACCCGGTCCCGGCCAAAAACTGCAAAAAAAAAAAAAAAAGAGTTAAGATTTTAGGAGCTCAGAATCAGAGAGAAGGGGCATTTAGGGCAGTGAGTATGGCTCCTGAGCTCTACCTTGAACAACTAACTTGTGTCAATAAGGAAGGAAAAAGCTCAGTTGTTAGAGCACGGGCCACATACCCCAGGGCTGGTGGGTTCGAATCCAGCCCAGGCCTGCTAAAACAACAATGTCAACTGCAACAACAACAACAACAAAGAAGCTGGGCGTTGTGGTGGGCACCTGTAGTCCCAACTACTTGGGAGGCTGAGGCAAGAGAATCGCTTAAACCCAAGAGTTTGAGGTTGCTGTAAGCTGTGACTGAACAGCACTCTACAGAGGGTAACATAGTGAGACTCTGTCTCAAAAAAAAAAAAAAAAAAAAAGGAGGAGGAGGAGGAAAATACTCCTGGCAGGAGCTTAAAGAGGGGAAAGTGGGGTGGGCGGGTAAGTGCCAAAAATTACATGAGGCATCTTTTGGCCAAAGGAGAGACTAATATGAAAGATATCTTAAAAGAACAGTTAGGCCTAGATCCTGGAGAGTCTTTGATGCCAAGCTCAGTTTTGTGCTTATAGGTAGATCTTGCTGATTTTCCACTGCATTTATACCTACCTTGAGGAAGTGAGGAGTCATTGCAGAGCTTTCAGCAGGGGAGTAACAAAAAGATTTGTGTCTTAGAAAGATCAGTGCAGAGACTGGCCTGGGGACTGGGAGAAAGAAGGAGACCAATTAGGAAGTTGTTTTAATACTGAGGAAGAGCAAGACACAGTAGCACATGCCTGTAGTTCTAGCTACTCAGGAGGCTGAGGCTAAAGGATCACCTGAGTCTAGGAGTTCTGGGCTGTATTGTGCTGTGCCCATTGGGTGTCTGCACTAAGTTCAGCATCAGTATGGTCACCTACCAGGAGGGGGAACCATCAAGTTGCCTGAGGGGTGAACCCACCCAGGTCATAAATGGAGCTGGTCAAACTCCCCTGCTGATCAGTAGTGGGATTGCGCCTTTGGATAGCCACTGCACTCCAGCCTGGGCAACATAGCAAGACCCCCATCTCTAAAAAAGAAAGAAAGAAAGAAAGAAATTTGTGAGGAAGAGCCTGGCACAGTGGCTTATGCCTATAATACCAGCTCTTTGGGAGGCCGAGGCAGGAGGATTGCTTAAGGCTAAGAGTTTGAGACCAGGCTGGATAATATAGTGAGACCCCATCTCTACAAAAAAATAAGAAAAATTAGCTGGGCATGGTGGTACACACCTGTAGTCCCAGCGACCTGGAGACAAAGATTGCTTGAGTTTGAGGTTGCAGTAAGCTGTGATCACATCACTGCCCTTCAGTCTGGATAAAGGAGAGAGACTCTATCTCTTAAAAAAAATCATAGGGAAGGATTATGGAGGTATAAAGCATGAAAAGGAGAGGATGGATTCCTTAGGCACTTATAGCTAGAAAGAACTGGATTTGGTGACTAGTTGGATATGGGGGAAGTGGGAGAAATGAATGATGCCTTCTTAATTTCTGGTTTAGGAGAACAGGAGAGGAAGCAGGGTTTTTGGAAGGTGTCACTTCTGGGCATGGTGAGTCTGAGGTGCCATTGGGACACCCAAATGTAAATGTCTAGGCAGCAATTGAGTATGCCTGACTAGAGGTCACACGATAACTGAAGTAGAAATGTGAATGAGTGTAGGGCGTTATAGATGCCAACCACACTAGTAGATTTGTTGAGCTTGCCCGGGGAGTATGCATAGAGTAAAAAGAGAAGATGGTCTAGCCATACAGCCCTGAAAAGCACATAAGTTTGAGAGTCTAACAAAGGAGAATGAACCTACAAAGATAATTGAGATGAAGTATCCAAAGTGGTAGTTCAGAAGTCAAGGGAGATTTCGTCGCCTGTGGCTCAGGTGGCTAAGGCGCCAGCCACATACATCTACAGTGGCGGGTTTAAATCCAGCCC